GTGTGGTTGAAAATAAGAGAGTGAAAAAGAATGAGAATGAGAGTGGGGGCCAAATCGGGGCTATTGTAAGATGAAAGATCTTTCTCGGCACGATTTGACTTTTGATCTACAAAGTTTTACACCATTGTTTTAGGTTTAAATTCGGGAAAAAGTAAATTTCAACATTTTCAAACCCTAATTTGCAATTGATGGGTTCATATTGCCTTTGGCTTCTTTCCACAAATATAATTGTGCAATCAATATATTAACGATAAAACCATAATAATATGTATATTATTTCAATGCCATTGATTGTTGTGACTAGACAGCAAATTTACTTGGAGTTTAAGCTTCTCAATATATTATTTTCGAGTACAATGATAAAGATTTACTTGCGCAACAAATATAAAGTACAAAAATAATCTCAACTTGCCAAAGGTTATATTTATCCTTTAATATTTTAATAATTACTATTGGTTAATATTAAATACACGATCAATATAGCCGACAATAGTACCATTACTGATTACATTACATGCGATAGTTGCCAGTGGAATGTCATCGACAATGGATACCACCATGGCGATCTATAGGTTAAACCCTAACCTTAAGAGTCTCCCACCACCCCTGTCCTGGAGTATCGTAAGGGAGGTAAATCACAAGTTATGCCTTCAAGGGTATAGGGTGGAAGGCTGCTTGTACACTTGCACTTACGCAAGAGCCAAATCCATATTTCAGGATTGGAACCCTTGACGCAGCAGCCTCAAACAAAACTGGATTTCTCCACCCTCCCTTTTTACTACCATGGCGATCTATAGCTATCATTTTTAGTTGTCTTTGGTCAGTATCATTCTTCAAGATTTATAATCACCGATTATCAAAAATTATAAACAATGTCAATTAATAGTTGCACTTTCGAAATTTTGTAATAAACATCATTTTTAAAAGAAAACAAATTATGGGGCAATAATCATATCTTTTGGCATATTAACAACATAATATTTACTGTATTAATTAATAATCTTTAATATAGTGTTAATTGTATTCCACAAAAGTTAATACAATTCAGTGTATTGAATTTTATGAATCCAATAACGTATCAAATGGTACAAATAGACGAAGGATACAAAATGAATTACATTCACGATTAGATTTATAGAGCAATCGTGACCACCTGTTTTTTCCCCCTATCTACTTGCCTCAATTGCTCAACTATATGGTTGTACATGTGCCTTGATACACATTCGATTACTATGTGTGTTAAGCCTCACCACATAGGCTCCAAGTGACATGATCAACTCCTTGAGGTCCCTTGCGATGAAGCCTCGTGGATTATTGGAGCATGTAGATCCAAAGCGTCGAAGCGATACTAGCCAAAACGATCTCATGCTAACGATGAAGCCCTGAAGCTATATCTGAGGCCCAAACCATCGGCCTGCTAAAATGATGGAGCTCAACAAAAGTCACAATTGAAGCTCAACCACACCAACTGATGACCTACACGCGAAGGTCCCAAATTTATGTATGAGAACGTTTTGGAATAATTGATGAGACCTTTTTAATGAATGGAATGTTAGTCTTGTCAGTTTAGGTTGCAAGGTAATTGCTGCTCTCTTTAAGAGTATTAAATGTACCGCAAGCTAGTGAATTTCAAATGAGTGCCTAAGATTGATGCTTCGGTTAAAGAGATGAACACCATTTCATATATAACACTATACACTCCACATCCATGTATTATTTGAAAGATGATGCAACTCAATACACTTAAAGCTTCTATTTGTCTTCTCTCTTTCTTATCATATATTTGCTTTGCTAGAGTTTAGATTATTTTGTTTTCTTTGAGTTGTTTACTATTGGTCATCATTACGCAATCTTTTCCAAAATATATTATCGGGCCCGAACATATTTGTTTCGTGTTATAAAACGTCTCCCAATTCCAATTTTTGAATATTGTCGACTAGCAGTATGTTCATACGTGTTGAAATTTGCTTACGTCTACACGAGTGGACCTAATATCTATGGTCCGAGTTACCCTAACAAAGAAAGAGGTCAACAATACGGAGTTATAGTTATATGTGCACATACATACGCATAGTTTGATTTTATTAGGATAAAGCTGAAAATAAGTTGAGAAAGGACGTAGCCCAACAAGAGCCTCATTACCGTGTAAACTAAAGAAGGAACAGAAGTGGGACCCATCCGACCGTTATGGGTCCACCCAGAAAAATAGTCCCCACCCTTTATCTATCCATAATACTTCTTGCCGGCCGGACCCAATAACCCCACCTACCCTATGTACAATTGTTGTTGCTATTTCCACTCTCGCCTCTTGGACCCACTTTTTGCCTCTTTGTATGCTAATTTGCAATTGTTAGCACGTAGTGATTCCCAATAAAGATTGCATAAAACCTAATTCTAAACAAGAGTATATTAGCATCCATTGGCCGTTGTTATACTGTCACTTAAATTAGTATTCAGCATCATTTGTGTTATATAACATTATTCTTTTTTCAATATATTTTTATAAATTTTTGAAAGTATTTTATTTGGTTAGAATAGTTTTTAGAGGAAACTGATTTAAGATACTTTTTTTAGAAAATTCTTCTACGAGAAGTGGAAGTAAAATTAGGAATCCTGTCAATCGCACTCTTAACCTTTCAATGAAAGAGCCTTTGCATTTAAGGTGGAGTGACTATGTCCCTATTGCTTGAGATTAGCCAGACGAGAAAGTTGTTTTTATTTATATGTTGAGACAATTTTAAATTACGAACTAAGTGTATTTGACATTGGTCTTAAATTTTATACACTAGCATGCTCCAATAATGAAAATAACTATTTAAGCGATCATAATTGAACAATTACCTCACACACACCACATAATAATAAATAACATGACATAAACCCTACTCATAGGGTACAATTTATCTTAGCTCTTAATCTATTAACTCACTACCTATTCTTTTATTATCTGGTTGTTGTCCCCCTTTAAAAATTTTATTTTCTATTTTTTCCCTATTTCATGTTGTACATATAACAAAGAATCAAACTATGCCTATGTTTTGCTCAACAAAAAAAGTTAAATTAAATTCTAAATTAAAATAAACATTTTATTTTAATCATACATTTCATAAGACCTACAGCTTTTAAATCGCACATTCCATTAACTTTTATTGAAATCTACTAACAATTTAATTTTTATCTAAACTGAACATGGGTAATTAGAATTACAAGAAGAAATAAAATACCTATAAATTTAGAATTATTGGAAGAAAAAGGGGTACTTTGTCCTTGGGCCATTTCCATCCATTATCACTAAGCCCCTGTTTGGCATCCATTATTTCTCATTAAATTAAATTAAATTTTTCTCTCTCTTATTTTCAACCACACAATTTTCAATAAAATAATATTATACGTAAACCAAAAATTTTTCTTTTATTTTCAACCATTCATTTTTCAAAAAAATACTATTCAAAACATTATAATCTCTAAATAATGGAGCTCAAACGGGGGCTAAATTAGTGCAACTTTCACACCATTTTACAAAGTCTTCAACATTAATTTATTTCAGAAATCATTTAATTAAATAATATATTACTACTAATATTATTATATTAAAAATTATAATGACAAACTAAAATATTGCATTTATTAATAAATCAGAAAAAAATATTACATTTAATACCACAATTTAAAAAATTAAATTTAACCCACAAAAAATACATACAATAATAATAATAAAAAGCTTTCACAAGTTTGAAACTTTTTATTTTAATGTATTCAATACTTATCAGTTATTACTAAATCACTATATTTACGAATAAATGTTAATTAAAAATAATATTAAATTAAAATAGATATAACAAAGTTAAATCATTAAATAGTAAAGGATAAAATGAAATAAAATTTTGTTTTAGTAAAAAAATGAAGGACAAAATAGAAATTTTCAAAAACTAGAGTTCTTTTGACGTATGGTTGGATTGAATTTTGCACTAAATTGGCCATTAGAGCTACTAAGGGCGTGCTTGAGAGTTCCGACATATCGGTTAAGAGCGTTTCTAAAATTGTCCAACCTATACTTGAGGGTTTATTATTCGTCGATTTCGAAAGTTTTTTAAAAATAATAAAATTACATATACACCCCTTAGTAAAATTTTCTATAAATTCTTATATTAATTTTTTTAACTCATGAATGATATATTACTAATAGATAAATTTTTTACATATAAATTAATATTTAACTTAAAAAATGAAATAAAGTTAATATTTACTTATAACTAAGTTATTATTTTTTTATAAGTAAATTTTGTAATAAAAGTTAATTCTAAACTTTTAAATAATTTTAAGTGAATTTTTTTACCTATAAGTAAATTTTTATGTTTTATAAGTGAATTTTTATTTTATTAATAGTATTTTTACTTTATAATTTTTTTTATGAAAAAATGATTTTTTTACTTATAAGCAATTTTTAATTATAATGTAATTTTTCTTATCTTATAATTATATATATATTTTTACTTATAAATAATTTTTTAGTTAAATATATTTTTATTTACACGTTAGTTTTGGAGAAAATATGGTTGTTGAAAATAATTATTTTAAATCATCAAAAATTGGTGTCAAAAAAATTAACAAGCACCAACTTTTCCAAAGAAAATTCTACTTGTATATAATTATTGCACATAATAGTGTCCATAACGTGATGTGGCAATCATCCGATTGTTGATATGCAAGTGTGAGATTTGAATTAAAGGTTGGATCCAGTGCCACGTATAATTATAGACATTATTATGTAGATAATTATGTATATGTAGCACTTCCCTTTTTCCAACCCTTCGTAAACGGTACTACACAAAAACGATCAAAATTGGTTAAAATAAATAAATAAATAAATAAATGCGAAGTAGGCCCTAAGGTCACTCACTGTATTGGCAATAGTCTCTTTTGGGGTGCCCATACTTTTATCCCTCTCGTCTTTCCTGATTTGCAGCAGTCATTACATACATGGTGTACACATGACTAAAGTGCCATTCTCACCCCAAAGCATACAACAATAAAGCAAAAGCCACCCTACCCTACGTTACCCCAACCAAACCCCACCCATCTATGTCACTCCTATTATTATACAGCTAATGTATGCATTCTGCAATTTTCTAAGCTATATTTATCACTTTCAATCAGCTGCAATCTTTGAACACAGAAATTCAAGAAAATTATTATCTTTGTGTACATTTTGTGGTTCCACCTCTCTTCGCGCAAATTTTCACCGTTCTCTCTTATGGGTTTTTGGTAGTTTACAATATTTTGGGACAAATAGAAGATTATTTCATTGATTGTTAGATGAATCCAGATCCGGATTTGATTCACTTCACGAAAGATACTGATTTTTCGCAGTGGTAACTGGATGCTACATTTTGCAGCTACTATTATTTCGCTGTATGTCCTCTCATTTTCCCTTTAATATTCTCTTTGTCTCGTGTTCTGTCATGGTTTTATATATTGGGTTCTGGTATTTGCGTGGGATCTAAGTAGAGTTGATTCTCTCTTCGCATATTGTATTTGTTTATGTCTTATATAATCGATACGTACATGCATACTTACATATTTAAATGTTTTACTCAACTCTTTGCATGTGCTTAGCTATGTGAAGAAATGGAGCATTTTACTGCATTTGGTTATTGATTGATTGTTTTACGGATTTTGGTTTATCTTTTCTTAATGCTTTGAAAGATAATGGTGTAACACTGTATTTGTGAGGTATGATGTCTGATCTGGTGAGTTTCTGAGGATTTTGTGATTCCAATTACAGTGATTTTTGGGGAAAAATTTTTTTAGTTGAGATGAGAAGGTGATATAACTGCAACTGCATAATTGATTTCTTACAATTGGCCCCAGAATCAGTCAGTAGTAAATTTGATTGAAGCGAGTTTGATTGCTGATATTAGTTTTTGTGTCCGATACAGAGTTGTGTCTAACAGAGAGAGAAACTTGTGATGATATTTGGTGATCGGAAATGGAAAGGGTTCATAAGGCGAAACCACTTCCCAAAGAGTTGCTGACAAAAGTTTCAATTAATCAGCCTAGTTTGTTAAGGGAAGATTTTAGGAATCCATCGATTGTGTGTGACTCAAGGCATTTGGACTCGGCTGCACGTGTGCGAAGATGGAAAGGAAAGAACTCTTTAACAGATAATGAAGAACTCATTCCTGATATTGTTTCGTTTAAGGCAAGTGGTGATTCATTCGAGGAAAGTGGCTCAACTTCATTCCATGGGGTGAGTCATCCTCCTGAACCCATTGATAAGGACCTGATGAGACCATTATATGTACCTATTGGTCAGAACAATGGGGACAGAAAATGTCTCGCTAAAAGCTTGTATACGAAGGCTCCGTTTTTGGAAAATCTTTCAATACATGTACCGAGTATAAAGCCAAGCCTGTCACTACTTTCTCCGGCAGAAAGGTTGGTTGAAGAATCTAACGACATAGCCCCGGTCTCCTCTCCATTTTCTGTTCCTTATCCATTGAAAAATACCGTTGAAGCAAGTCTGCCGATGGATACTGAAGAGAAAGACGAATGTATATGGGATTCTTCACTACCTCCGAGTGGTAATGTTAGCCCCCACAGTAGTATCGATAGCACCGGTGTTTTTACGACTATGAGTTTTGTCAATAGCAGCACTAGCACAAACAGGAGTGATGTGATAATGAGTGATGGGATGCTTAGTTTGGACAAAAACTACGAAATTACTAAAGGTAGCATTCGAGGGGACTCGCTTGAGAGTACTAAAACTAGCCTTAGCCGAGTAAGTGATAGCAGTGGTCTTAGTGATGACAGTAACTGGAGTAATATAACTGGCAGCGCAAATAAACCTCACAAAGGAAATGATCCTCGATGGAAGGCCATTCTTGCTATTCGAATCCGTGATGGTATTTTAGGCATGAGTCAATTCAAGTTGCACAGAAGACTTGGCTGCGGAGATATTGGAAGTGTTTATCTCTCGGAATTGACTGGAACTCGGTGTTTGTTTGCAATGAAAGTGATGGATAAAGCATCTCTCGCAAGCAGGAACAAATTGATCAGGTCTCAGACTGAAAGAGAAATCTTGCAGCTGCTAGACCATCCATTCTTGCCCACATTGTACACTCACTTTGAAACGGACAGATTCTCATGCTTGGTCATGGAATATTGTCCAGGAGGCGATCTGCATACCCTGAGGCAACGACAACCAGGGAAACATTTTTCGGAGTATGCTGCACGGTAAGCATTATCATTGTCTCCAATTATTAATCTATTAGATTTTTATTATTAACACAACGACATATTGCTTCTACACATTCATTTAGTGCTCATTATGTTTCCTGGGATTTATTTGTGAGCCTATCATTCTCAAAATCTTGTTTTAGCAAATGACAATACAGTTCATTTGTCACCATGTTCTTGATTGAGATTCTATCCTTCAAATACGTGACCAATTTTATAATTTTTTATTCTGCAAATAACATCAGCTTGTTCATATCTCTTATTTTGTCACATCTAAGACTTCTTGATGCAAGTTAAATTATTTGAGTAATTTCAGATCATAGCCATACAGTAGAATTATTGGTCATTGCTTAATCAGTTGAATCCTGTGCTCATCACAAACTTAAAATCTGGTCTGAGAGGCTTTTGTTGAGTTTGTTCCTTGATTGACTCAGGAAGATACATTCGTGCAGACTAACGATTTAATTTCTTGCATGGAATTACTACTTCAAGATTTAATTCTGCCAATTTTGACTTGTAAGGCTTTGCAAGGATAGAATATTAACAGCTACGTCTTGCTCCCTTGATGAGTAAATTCTCTCAAATATGCAGAACGAAGTTCCATTTAGTTTATTAATTTCGTTATGATCCATTACATTTTCAGATACATGAGAAATATAGATCCTTTTGTTTATTGTTCACTTTCTTGATAAAAACAGAAGAGTAGAGCATTGCAAATGTGTACTGGATCTTTGCAATAACCCCCAAAAAATACTGTCTTCAACTGTCTAACACTGGTATAGGAATTGCTCTGAAAGCCTGACGCTACTAGTTGTGTGTTAATATTGACAGTACTGTTTCTGACTGAAAATGGTTTATTGTTTGAATAATGCACCTGCTGTAAACTCATTTTGACAGCCCACTCACACGAGTGGGCCCCACGTGATGTAAAAAGTGCAGTACTTGTAGCATAATTCTGTTTGTTTACATGCTTTCTGCTTTAATTTTAGGCGTGTATGCCAATTGCCAAGCATTAAGAAAGTTGCATTCAAGAAATTTTAATATATTCTTCGTTAAAAGATAAACCTTCCATTCCCCTTCAATATAAGTCGAATATTTGTAATTTCTTGATTGTCACGGAGTTTGATATTTATAATCAACAAATAATTAATATTCCATCGAGTGACTATGTTGCTGGATTTTCAGTTGACCAATGGTTCTGAATTGTTGAAACTTTACTGCTTCCTTCCATATTCTTTACCTCTCAACATTCTGAAATATGATTTCGTCCGACTGAAGTTAATAACCTTTGGGTTTCACAAATGCAGGTTTTATGCTGCTGAGGTTTTATTGGCGCTCGAGTACCTTCACATGTTGGGAGTTGTGTACAGAGACCTGAAACCTGAAAACATTCTTGTTCGTGATGATGGCCACATTATGCTTTCCGACTTCGATCTTTCCCTGAGATGTGCAGTTTCGCCAACCCTAATAAGAACATCTGGGTCTGATTCTGATCCTTCCAAACGAGGAGCTGCATTCTGTGTACAACCAGTGTGCATTGAGCCCACATCAGCATGTATTCAGCCATCATGTTTCCTTCCTCGAATTTTCGGTCAAAAAAGTAAGAAAAATAATCCCGGAAAACCACGAGCAGAGCTCGGCCTGCATTCCGGTGCGCTGCCTGAGCTAGTTGCGGAACCCACTGCAGCACGGTCCATGTCATTTGTCGGCACCCATGAATACTTGGCCCCTGAAATCATCAAGGCTGAAGGCCATGGAAGTGCAGTGGATTGGTGGACATTTGGTATATTCTTACATGAACTACTCTATGGTAAAACCCCATTTAAAGGGTCGGGAAATCGAGCAACCCTCTTCAACGTAGTCGGGCAGCAACTTAAATTTCCAGACTCACCTGCAACCAGTTATGCCAGCCGGGATCTTATCCGTGGTCTACTTGTTAAAGATCCACTACAACGGCTCGGGGTGAAGAGAGGCGCAACAGAGATAAAGCAGCACCCTTTCTTCGAAGGTGTTAATTGGGCTCTGATACGCTGCAGTACGCCACCGGAGGTGCCAAGACCAGTCGAGATGGAGCCTCCGGTGAAGTTTGAGCAAGTAAGCCCAATCGGGGTCAGCAACAACAGCAAAAGGGTGGTAGGAACAGAGATGAAGCCTGGGGGAAATTTTCTGGATTTTGAGTTCTTTTAGTTTAGGAATATAGGATTCTTGTCCTGTTATATCATCTGAATCATCTTTTAATGGATTTCTCCCTCTGGGATTTAGAAATGATTTCAGAATCAAACAAATTAGAGGAGCTCAATACATAATGATAATGTTTACATCACGGTTAACAATTAATTAGGAAAATTAAGGACTTTCTTCATTTTATATATTGGGTAAACATAATTCTTGATTAAGCTCTTTTTTGAAACTGCAATTTTTTTTTTTTTTTTTGAAATAAATTTTTGCTCACTCATTTTCAACCACGTGGTTTTCAAATATATATTTTCACATTTCTCCTCAACTTTTTCGTAATCTTTAACCACATATTTTCTAAAATACCACTTTTCAAAAAATCGACTTAAGATACTTTATATATATTTATGATCTTCTAGTTTGCGCGCCTAAGATACATATTAATGGACAAGCAGATTGGACATTTAAATAATAGAGTTTCATTTCAAAAAGATATAATGTCTGTTTCGCGCGGGTAGTCGCTAACAATTTAAAAGGGATCAGACGATTGTGTAAGGAACAGACCTTTTGAAACAAAGTCCCAAAAAGGGATGTTTTATTGGCGATGATTTACAATTGGAAATAAACAGAATGCTTTCAAGGGGCGCAAGTACACGAGTACTAAAAGAAGTGTTTAAGTTTAAACTAAGAAATCGAAATTACATATTCTCTGTTTGAGAGTTTTTTATTCATCCCTTTTTCTCTATATCTTCTCTTCCTTTTATATTCCCTTGATGATTTCTTCGTGACAAACCACTTGGAAACTGCTTGATTGCTGTATAACTACCCACTTTCTTTATGGTGGCTAACTTGTCGTGGAATTGCCATCTCTAACTGTTGTCATTACTCTTTGTCGTTCAACTGCCTTCAACTAGGCTTCTTGAATCGTGGAATGTGATAAGATCACTTAGTAACTGCTTCAATAACTGCTATTCTGGATAACCATAATGTTTTATGCTTGCTAAGATCCTGGGCGATTCGAAGGTTTGGGCGAGAATGGGGTCATCACTCTGGGCAACCGTAAGGTACTCCATTCGCTCAGATTCTGGGCGTCTTGCAAGCTTGGGCGATGATATTACCGTGTTCGTGGGCTTCCACCGCATTCATTGATAATCATTTTATTTGAAATTTTCAAGAATTTCAATCATTATTTCCTTCTACAGCCTAAAAAGGTGCAACGTTACAAATCCTTATAAACCCAAAAGACACGCTATTTCATTGCACCACTAAACCACGTCTCTATATTTCGTGTTTCCTCCTCGCTATTTTATTGTTCATCTTCTTGCTTCTCTGCTACATTTCTCAGGCAAACCTTAACGAAACTATACTTTGTTCCCAATGGCCACTTCACAAACTCAATCTGGTGATTCTTTTAGTTTCGAAGATTTCCAAAAAATCCTTACTAGGCCGTATATAAATCCAAACTTCCTTGCACAAGCTAATGCTGACCTCAATAAATTCTATCTGGGTCCATCGTTCAATAATGCCGAAGCCGTTGGACAAGTGGCGTTGGCCAACTATTCCCTTGCACTCAAGGTCCTCCGTTCCTGAACTCTCTGCCATTGAGACCGATTCGCGAAAAAGGTATTCACACTTGGCCCAAAGCTGATGTTATTTTTCGTAGATGGCATGCACGTCTTGTGAATCATGGCCTTACTAAGGTGATTTTTGATCGTGCTAGGATTTCAGACTTATTAGAAATCACTCTTCAACCCCCAATTTTCGACCTAGTGCTTTTTCCTATTGCTTTGAGTTTTTGGTCTTCTGAATATAACACCTTCGTTTTTCCTCTTGGTCCCATGTCTATTACTTTAAGGGAAGTTGGAGCCCTAGTAAATCTTCCGCCTTTGGGCGATACCATCTTTCCTGATATCTTGATTTCCAGTGTTGCCCCGAAATTTGACAAGAAACTAACTGGGTCTTATTCAAGCCTGCAAGGCTTTTATAATCACTCAAGCGTTGAACTTTCCCATGCTGAACGTGTGACATTTCTTCAGATTTGGCTCTGTAAATATATTCTCTGCGTGCCAAGTATAAAACCTTCTATGAGCTACTTACCCATAGCACATGAATTGGCGTGTGGTAGGCATTTGAACTTATGTTCCTTCTTTTTAATTGCCCTTTATAGAGGCATGGCTTCCCTTCAATTTCAACTGAAGAATGGTGCATCTCCCACTGGCAGTGGGCCCCTTTGGTTCACTCAACTGTGATTGAGAGCATACTTTCCACCACTTGGTGCTCCATCCATTTTCCTTAGTTCTGCTAGCTGCTATGGGCTAGTCATTAATCCACTGAACCCTGTAAATATGTCAAATAGGGACATTTTTTCATTCTTTTATACCTTAAATTCGATTCCTTTCTTAAATTCGATTCCTTCCTTTTTTTCCTTTTCCTGCTTACTTGACTCCAGATTATGTGCAACCTCCATCCACCCTAGATAGTGCGAGTGCCTCTCTGCTTGTTTGGGTTCAATTTTTGATTGGGAGGAAATTGTTCTGCGATATCTTAACTAGAACCAATGCCAAAGTTGGGATTGAAATATATGCTCCCCAACTTGATTTTGGCCAAACTTGGCCTGTTCCTCCTTGCTACTCTAAAAATTTGACAGACCGCTTTCACACTATTAATAAGGCAGAGGCACAAGCTATAGATGCTCGCAATATTCTTTTGACGAGCAAATTTTCATTAGCCCCTTTCAATTCTAGCTGTGCCGTCCATCCTCTTTTTGAACAGCTTTGGCCATCAGTAAAATGCCGATTATTTGCAACTGATACTAATTGTGCCTTCCATTTACTGGACCAACCAGGCACTCCCTCTACTTCTACTATTTTGGTCACCCCTGTGTCCATTAGGAATCTTTCCTTCCCTGCTCGCGCTAAACATTCTATCCATCCATCTGCTTCTCAACCTGCCAAGGCTAATGCAGCTAAAGATGTCTTAAGCCGCAAACGGCCAGTTTCAGCATCTCCCATTTTGCAGGATGATAATGATGATGATGATGATGATGCTCCTCTCATCCTTAGGAAAAAGGTAATTGAACTTGTTTATTCACAAACATACTTTTCTGTGTACTAATGGTTTACCTGAATTTCTTAGAAAAGTTCAGCCTCTCCTTCGAAGGCTTTAGTTTTGACAGCTCCTGCTCCATCATCTTTTGCTGAAGCTACTTCGTCCAAATCAGCTGATGAAGGGATTATGCTTAAAGAGAAACTCTTAGTCCCGGAACCTTCATTACAACCAGTAGAAGGGCCACCTTCTTCCCAGGGCGCCGACCCCCCAAATGTCGAACCAGAAGGTAATACATATTTTGATATTTTACCTTTACTTGTGCTACTAGTTTCTGATTCGTTGCTTCTTGAATTATGTAGAGGCTCTCATGGGCCTGCCCGTTGTGGCAGAGTCTTCTCGCCCAGATAAGGAGAAGTCCCCACAGGTGTTGGAGCCAACTGGTGATATGCCTGAACTTCCTAAGATTGCTAATGAGGTAACCTTTTGCTTCACTTTCATTTTCGCTTCGTTTTTTGTAATGAAAGTCCTCAATGTTGGCATTTTATTTACAGGGTGCTGATGACATTGTGCGTTCCATCCAGGACTTGTTTACTTCCTAAGGGCAAGTCAAGACGCCTCGCCCTACTTCAACCAGTCATCATTTTGCTTCTTCAGAGGAAAATATGAAGTTTCTCAAGCAGTCGGTATTTGAGTATGTGTCTTTTATGGATATGGATGTCGGCCAGGCTAGTGCTACTAAAACATAAGGATAAGCTTGAGCTATTGAGTGCGAAATTGGCGCAAGCACTTACACTTCCGTCGCTCAATGTTTCTACTGACCTTAAAGCGACGTTGAAGGTTGTTCACTCTGATATCCTCTCCTTGCTAGCCAAAAATGTTGAACTGAAGGCCACGAGTACTCAATATCTTCGTGCTGCATCTGAAAGAGAGTCTTTGCTTCTAGAGATTAACAAAGCCGAGGACGAATTAAAAGAAATCTCTTCCGACGTTATGATTGAAGACTCTTTGATGACAAGTTTGACTGTAGAGATGAAGGAGCTTCAAGCAAAGATGGACGACTGTAGGACGAGAATGGCTGCTAAAAAGCGAAATACTTCCCAAGGAATTGAACGAACCAAGTCTTTGGTTGAGCAGTACAAAAAGCTGAAGGTTGATGACGATTTTGTAGCTGAATTAAATGTCGCTTCTTCTCAACAGACCGAAGATTGGGGGAGACTTAGGAAAAGAATTCGTTCGGCCTGGGGTGAATTGTAATTAAGACATCCAATGCCTTAACTTTCATTTTGTAACTTCGTACTAACTTTCCTTTTGTAACTTCGCACTAATTGTCATTGCTAATTTTGAATGTAATAGCAGTTATCGTCATTAATGAACGACTAATTTGTCTACTTGCATATTAATTGACGTTGTCCTTAATCGTCAAACTCTTAAGCATTTAATTGCTTTATACTAAGATTCATATACATTCTTCCTTGGTATTTCCGTCTCTTTTCCCAAGACTTTGGGCCATTTGATTTCAGTTATTAGGCACAAATGTGGCCATTCATATTCTGTCTTTTCACCTTCACGCCTCTATAAATGCGTGTGTATTTTGCACTCATCATTTTCATTTCCATTCTTTTATTCAAAAACTAATTTGCTTCCATCATTTGGCACCCCAACAATTGATCCAAAATTTTCGTCTTCCATAGAAATTGATCATTTGATTTGCCCATTTTACTATCTGTTTTGATGTCACCTTTGATATGGGAGATATAGGAAATATTATTTGGCCAGCGAAGTTCTTCCCATCGTCTCCATGTTCTTTATAAGGAGTTCAATGATGGAAGGCAATTTTTTAGGATGCTTTTCAAGCCACTTTGCTTGCTGAGAGTGCTTCTCAGTCTCCTTGCCCATTATTGCAGCAATGCGATTAGGCTGGCGATTTGAGGGTTTTTTTCTTCTTTTTTGCTTGTTGAGAGTGC